TAAAGACTGTCGGATAACAATGGCCACTCCTCCGCCCCTTCTCTGGGATCGCGGTTGATGAAGCACCTGAAAACCCTCTGGGCACATTTCTGTGAGGGGGACTCCTCCCTCCGGGCCCAGCCAGGTTTCAGTAATCCATGCCAGATCTGCCCCCTCGTCTATAATTAGGTCCTGGACGAGGGGAGCTTTATGAACCACAGATATGGCATTTAGCAACAGCAACCTGAGACCAGGGTCCTGACTACTCACGCCATTTCATTAAGATGTTCACCATCATGTTATTCTATTTCTATAGTTACTATAATAATTGCAGTATAGATTTTATTGTTTTCTGGTGTTTTCTGGTGTTAAAATGTCTGATATAGTGATGGATTCATTGAAGATTTACATATATATGGTTTTGTATTGTTGACAAAGATAAAAATAGTAATAGCTGAAAAAAAGCATTTTGCAAATTCAGAGAAAAGTTGGAAAAATATGCAGGGAGTTTTCAATTCTAATTTGAAAACTCAGTAGTTTGGATAGAAATGAGATTTTTCTTCAGATTGATCTTTTTCTACATAATGTAACATTTAACTGCATGGAATATTTGGCATCAAGTATAAATACATGAAAGATTAATATATGGCTGGTCCTGTATTTTTAAAAGAAAATATATTTACTACTGAGATGATGAATGTGGGTGTTTTTCTTATGCAGTGCATACCAGGATTATTTTGAGCAAAAAAAATTGCATTTGAACAAACTTAAACAAATTTAAAGCAGTTCATCAGAATGAAGCTTGAACTAGAGACTAAGAAGTAAAAAGCTTAATACATAAATAAAAAAACCTTGCATTAAAAGTAAAAAAAATTACTTTGGTTTTTTTACAAGTAGTTGCTTTCTGTTCAAATCAGGCCTCAGAACAATAATGAAGCACTTAGGAGAAAAGATGCAGCCCAGTAATCCAGCTGCAGAAGCTAAAATAGAGAAGATCTCCACAGCTACCATGTATTTCCCCTTAGTGCTCAGATAGGTAGGAACAAACAATAGCCAGACGCTACAAAAGACAAACATGCTGAAGGTGATAAATTTGGCTTCGTTAAAGCTATCTGGTAACTTCCTGGCTAGGAAGGCTACCATGAAGCTGATAGCAGTCAAGAACCCCATATAGCCAAGGACAATGTAAAACATGATGGCTGAACCTTCATTGCATTCCAGGAGAATTTCATCAGGCATTGAGTTCATGTCTGAATCTGGGAATGGGGGAGAAGTTGCCAGCCATATACTACAAATGGTGATTTGCACTGTGGAGCAAGATAGGACAATAACATTAGCCAGCCTTTTCCCCACCCATTTCCTCATTTTGGAACCTGGCTTGGTGGCCATGAAAGCAAGAACAACTATTGTGGTTTTCCCCAATATGCAAGAAAGGGCGATGGAGAAGATGATGCCAAAAGCAGTTTGTCGCATAAAGCATTTTACTTGATCGGGTTGCCCAATGAAGAGCAAAACACAAAGGAATGAAAACAGAAGAGCAATGAGAAGAACGTAGGTGAGGTTCCTGTTGTTAGCTTTGACAATGGGTGTGTCTTGGTGTTTAATGAAGATCCCCAGCACCACAGCTGAGATGAAAGAAAAGAAGAAAGCAACACTTGTCAAGGTGATTCCCAAGGGTTCTTTGTAAGATAAAAAGACTGTGTGTTTATTAATACACAGAGTTTGGTCCATGTTAGGGTAGTGTTCTTTGGGACATGAGAAACAGTCATCTAAATCTGGAAAAGGAAATAGAATACACCTTCATTACATTGACTGAATTTACAGAGATCAACACCTTAGAAAATACTGTGACATGATGTACAATTTTGTGTGATATGATTTGATTTGGTGTGCACAGAATCAATATTGGATTGAATCTCATACTGTTGCTTGGAAACAGGGGTGTCAACCTTGTGGCCCATGGGCTGGATGCGTCATGTGCTGGTCCTGCTACTACCCAGTAGTAGCAAAGGAGCAAAAAGTCCCGATACATCACGTGATGATGTTGTGATGATACAAGTTGGACACCCCTGCTTTAGAGGAAACAAACCTTGATACTACACTGCATGCACAATTTTCATAATTGGTTGTTTCTCAAGCATCCTTCCTCTGAATCCATCTGCCTTTTTGCTGATTATCTTCCCTTCATCTTCATATAATGTTTATTTTACTAATTTATTTAAAACATGTATATAGCTGCTCATTTTATGAGCAGATGGCTACTAGTTCAGAATTAAAACAATATCAATAATAAAACAACATAAACAATAAAATAGGTGGGGGGGGAGAGTATTCCATAGTACTGGGATTATCACAGAAATAGCATGCAGTCAATGAAGACCATAGTGACTTATTTTAGTGTTCTTTGCCTTTCTCAATTATAACAATGCATAATCAATAATGACTTGTATATCAGGGTTCCAAGTAATATCTCCATACAAAGCAGAACTCCAAAGCAGGCAAGTTCCTCAAAAAAAAAAAAAAAAAAATTGGAGATATCATATTGGCACAAGTTGGTGAAAACCAACTCTGAAAGTTCCTGCGGTTTTCATCTGATTAAAAGACATTCAGTCACATTGTCCAATCAAGGTTTTGGCTGGTCACATGGTAACAAGACTCCTCCTCACCCCAGTCACCTGTTGAAATGTTCTTGGTTCCCACAGGAAACTATTTTGTTTTGACTACAAACTCCCCATTTAAATATTGAAATGATCCTGAGTGTTGTTTGGCAAGTGTTGGAAATTATAGATATTGTGCTTTAATTTGAACACCCTTTTAAGTCTCTCTGTTTCTCCCTCTCTCCCTCTCATGCTGCAGTGTTCTCTGATCTCTTCAAATCTATTGTCCACTGTATTGTTCGCTGGAGTGTCTGGTATATGCATGGATCTCCATGGATTATTTTTATGTACATTACACAGTATTTCCGTTTACCCTATTTATTCTTGTTTGATCTCACATCTGTGAGTTGGGGCCATGTTTACCTGGGACAATCACATAAATTTTCTCGTAAAATAATTATTTTTAGGATCTGTAGAGATGAATGCCTCAACTACTAGGAAACCTTGTAGTATTTTGAACCTAGTCACCTTCAGGGCTATAAGATATGAACTGTTCTTTAATGGAAACTCTTACCTGTCTGGTTGGCAATTTTCCCTTCTGGGCAACGAAGGCATTTGTAACAGCAAAATGGCTTCCCTTCTATTTTGATCTTGCTGAACCCCAAGGAGCAATGATCATTGCATAAAGAAAGAGGTTGTGTCTGTTAGTAAAGGAAAATGCAATATATTTAGAATGGAAACATTACCAATCCAAGACATTTTAAATTGGAATTATTAATCATTCTATGTTAGATTAATAGGCTTGGCTTACATATCCTTCTGGCATAATCAGGTCAGGGATGGATTGCTCCCAGCATTACTGCTGGTTTGGTGCACGCAAAAATGTTGTGTTCACACTGACAAATTTTGCGTTTGCACACACGCCAGACATGCATTCTGCACCTGTGCGTATTTATACAAAAATAAGTCTGAGCATGTGCAAAACATTAAAAAAGGAGAAAAAACATTTGTGCAATTACAATTGTTTTGCACATATGCAGAACTGAATATTCAAGATGGCAGCCTCAGTAGGAGAACTGGTTCAGGGGCTTGGCAGGCCTGGGTCACCACCGGTTCCAGTGACCCAGGCCACCAAACCATACTGGTTTGTCTGAACTGACCGGAACCGGTATGAATCCACCTCTGAATCAGGTGTGTAAATGAAAAAGGTCTCTTATTCATCTGATAGATATCAAATACTTGGTTAGTTAGCTCTGAAGAAGAAATACATTCAGTTAATTTTTCTTAGACAAAATCCTCTTTGAAATCCTGTTCATGAAGAATGTTGCTTTTCATGTACTTGATTCCTTAATTTGTGCATCTGTTCAAGTGAGCCATTCAAATATCAATTGAAGTATGTGTAGTGAACCCCCACCCCCCGCCACTTAAAAAAAACTGAATAAATGTTACCTGGTTAAAAATATTGGGCCAGACAATATTATCTGCTGATAGAGAGAGAAGGTGTTCGAGTTGAATTGATGGATCAACTTTTCCAACTTTCACCCTAAGAAAGGATAGATTTTGGAAGCTGACCCAGTTGATGATATCAAACCCAAATGCAACCTTGCCATTCTGGTCAAAGAAAATGTTTTCTCCACAACTGTTGTTAAATGAGACCTTTTTCAGGTAGCGATGAAGCTGAAAGGTAGAACATGATAGTAATTAATAAAAGTATACAAGGATGACAAAAATATACAGCAGTATTATTTTCCAAAGATATTCTTGCATTTCCAAACTATGCTAATAATAACCATTATTCCTCACTTCCATTGGCAAGTGGCCAGAAAAATTACCAGAGATGGAGTTAGTAAAGGAGGCTAACAGCACTCTTGTGGATATCACACTGAAGTATATGTCCCCATAACCAGCAGCTTGTCCTCATTTGATACCATTTAGCAAGTGTAACATCCAGAGGTGAGTTCCTACCGGTTTGGCCCAGTTTGCCCAAGTAGGTAGTAACTCGACCACCCATGCCTCTGAACTGGTTCTATCTGTAGTGCTGAAGGTGCCGCCATATTGTTTTTTCTTCTGTGCATGCCCAGAAGCAATTTTTTCACTACTGCACATGTGCACCTAGCCCCCAAAGTGCATGCACGCTGGAAGCACGTCCCCAAGTGAACTGGCAGTAAAAGAATGTGGAACCAACCCCTGATACCATCCACTTCTAACTTCTTCCTCATCATTATCCCTCTCCTCTGCATGTTGTAACTTCCTTTGTCAGTGCATGAAACACCAACATTTTGTCTTTTTCCTCCCTCTCATAGTTATGTATAACTTTTTTTTTTTTAAAAAAAGCTATTTTAAAATATTACAGGAGAAGAAGGGGCACATGCAGAAAGAGGACATATTGATAATGATACAGACACAAATCCCCTTTCAAAATTATTATTTGTGTTGACAGAGAAAGGTGTGTAATTTCTCAAAATTGTGTAAGGGAAGGAATTCTCCTTCAATCATCCTTAAATTGTTTGGAAGTGACAGTAGGACCATTAAAACAAAAGCTCTATGGAATATGTTTGGTTTTAGCATCTTATGTTATTATTGTATTTGTATTTATTTGTCTTGTATGCTGCCCACTCCCGAAGGACTCTGGGCGGCTCACAATAGACAAGGGAAGGGGGAAGACTAGACAAAGACAACACTTTAAAAACAAAACCACAACATTCACAATTTTCGCGGGGCTGGATGTTTCACAGCCCCCCCCCCAGCCTGTTGGAGCAGCCAGGACTTGGTGGCTTTGCGGAAAGCCAGGAGGGTCGTAAGGGTCCGGATGTCGACAGGGAGATCATTCCAGAGGGCTGGAGCTGCAACAGAGAAGGCTCTCCCCCGGGGGGTCGGGGCTGGTGGAGGAATCCGGAGGAGACCTAACCTGTGAGATCTGATCGGTCTATGGGAGGT